TCATACATGTGATTTCCGTCTTTCGATTAGTATTATTTAATCATTATTATTTAAATTACCTTCAACGAAAACAAATGTCATCAGCGTATGAAGATACTTATAATCTCATTTATTAGGAAAACAACTGAGAATCAGCCCATCGGCACTAGTTTCCTCAAACAAATGCAATTCCTTTTTGCTCTTTAAAAGCGTACGATGAAACTCGTTACTACTGAAAGAGATACCTTGACCTATTTAGCCTTTTTAATGATCTTGCACAAAGTCTGACTATTTAATAAAGATTTATAAGATATATATGTGTAATTGGTAATTAGGAAGTTCCATCTACTTGTATATAATTTGTTTAATGATTCGGGAAAAGTCTGTTTGATCTTTAAATAATATTATGATTCACGCGTAATATTGAATGCATGAAAAGCGTTTCTGTTGCTCGTATTATTAACGCATATGCGTTTTATGTATTTAGCGGGAATAAAAAAAAACATGCGTATGATTCTTATCTTAATTTTATATTATATTTTGCTTTAACTTATTTTATAATTTCGTATTTGTCATTTTAAATATTCAGTTAAAATATTTTATTTAATATGAGAAAATTGTGTTTTAAAATTTAACACAAAAAAAAATTGTGAAGAAAAAGAATACATGGAACGAATATTGTTTAACTTATCTACGTTCATAACGTACCGAATCGGGAGACATTTCTTTCAGTTTCATAACGATACTTAATGTATATTTTTTATCGACAAAAAAAAATGTTTTTCGTTTTAAAAATACTATTACAACTCCTCCCAAACTCTTAAAATAGTACGGTAGAATATATTAATAATTTTTCAGTCTAGAATTTAATTAATTTCATTGATGATTAGTTTTCATTAAGTAACGAGATTATTTTGATCTAGCTAGTTAAATAAACTATTTTTATCTATCTTTATCTGAAATCATTTCTTCTTAGCTTTGACTAATTAGATTGATGAATAATTTTTATTAAATAAGTGCCAATTTTTTTTTATCTCGTTAGTTATTATAAAGATAAAATATTTTTCATCTTTTCTAGAACAATTTCTATCTAGCACTTAATTAATTTGATTGATGAATAATTTATAGTAAATAAGTGCCGAAATTATTTTTATTTTGTTGATTAGTTTAAAGATAAAATACTTTTTATCTTAACCTAGAGTTATTTCTATCTAGCACTTAATTAATTTGGTTGATGAATAATTTGCATTAAATAAGTGCCGAAATCAATTTTATCTTGTTGGTTACTATAAAGATAAACAATTTTTTAAAAATATTAATCTAGAATTATTTTCATCTATCACTCTATTAATTATATTGATAAACAATTTGAATGACACTTTTTTTTGTCATATTTACTCCGTTTTGCATTCGATAGAAGATACAGATTTTTTTTACAACTTATGCAGATTCTTGACTGCAGTTCCCAATTTTTCTTAGCCTATGGGACCTTAAATGATCAACCTTTTTTTGGCGGAGCCTCGACTTTATAAATTACGTTGATTAACAGTTACGCATATGCAAAACTATAAAATATTAATTAACGATAAATAAGAGATTCTTAATTAACGATAAATTAATTAAATTCAGAGTCGTATCGAACATCGAATTAGTTGAAATATAATTCTTTCTCCTCTACTTCTTTTACTTAACTTAGATTTATTATTTGTTTATATATTTTATTGTAATCATCATACATTTCTGTTTTGTGTACCTGGCAACTTCGATGCATAATTAGTTTGTTTATGATCCATGTGACTTCATGCCTGTCTTTGTGTTAAGTCTCTGTGTAAATACATAGTGAAAGAATTGAAATATTTGAGGAAGAATCTTTGTGAAAGAATGTATAACTTAAAAGAATTGATACTTGACGGGCTCGGCTTACTCGAAATAGAATGGAAAGACCAAAGGCTAACGTAAACAAATGTCACGTTTCAGCAACCAATCAGGATCGAGATACCCACACTACATCACTTGCAGGTATCCCATTGTTAAAGAGCTCTTCTTCCGCGCGACGATCACAAATTCATGGACTCTAAAGGATCAAATTTTTAATTAGAAGCATTGAACATTTTAACGAAAATTCTGTTTTTTAAATTTTTTGTCTTTAAATAATTAAAAAAACATTTGAAAAAGTGACCGGTTGTTTATTAAATTTAGGTCCTTTTTAAACTTCTTTACTTTTCTTTAACTTTCTTTTTTTGTTCACGTGGCGAATGGCTAGTGCTTATTTTCGGGTCTAATCAGAACTATATTCTCTAGAACAGTGATTCTCAACCTTTTTTTTTCGGGGGGGGGCGCACACTTTAAACGATTTCGAAATTTGACGTCACACAATGAAAAAAATTAGTTTCAAAGTTGTTTACTTACCTATAATACACTGTGTTAAATAGTTTGTGATAATAATTTTGAATGTGAAATAAAAAAATATGTAGTATAAAAGCTCGTGTATTGAGGGATTAATTATTTCTTTCGACTAATTTTTTATTAGTTAGTAACAATTATCATTATTTTTTGCTAGTTATTAATTGTTAGCTTGTTTTCTATAGCTATTGACTGGTATTTTTTTGTGATTTCTTGTTAACTAGTTCTTTTGCTAACTATTAATTGTTAGCTTATTTTTCCGTTAGTTATCTTTGTCACTTTGTTTTTGTAACTATTAATTTCAAAGCTTACTTTCATGATTAACTTTTATTTCCGTTTAAAAGTTAATATTTAGCTTGCTTAAAGCGTGGAAAAATTATAAAATATGCATATATATATATATATATATATATATTTTAAAAACAAGAAAAATGAAAAGAAAAAGCATTTAAACACTAAAAAAAAAAAAAAAAAATACACGGCGGGATAGCCTGATAGGTTGGGCCCATGTCCAAGAGTTTGTGGGTTT